GTGTGGTAGTTGTTGTTGTAGGTGTGGTGGTTGTAGGTGTGGTAGCTGTAGGTGTGGTGGTTGTTGTTGTAGGTGTGGTAGTTGTTGTTGTAGGTGTGGTGGTTGTAGGTGTGGTAGTTGTTGTTTTAGGTGTGGTGGTGGTGGTGGTCGTAGGAGTGGTGGTTGTTGTTGTAGATGTGGTGGTTGTTTTTGTAGGTGTGCTGGTTGTTGTTGTAGGTGTGGTGGTTGTAGGTGTGGTAGTTGTTGTTGTAGGTGTGGTGGTTGTAGGTGGGGTGGTTGTTGTTGTAGGTGTGATTGTTGTTGTTGGTATGGTTGTTGTAGGTGTTGTGGTTGGAGGTGTGGTAGTTGTTGTTGTAGGTGTGGTGGTTGTAGGTGTGGTGGGTGTTGTTGTAGGTGTGGTTGTTGTAGGTGTGGTGGGTGTTGTTGTAGGTGTGGTTGTTGTAGGTGTGGTGGTGGTTGTTGTAGGTGTGGTAGTTGTTGTAGGTGTGGTAGTTGTAGGTGTGGTGGTTGTAGGTGGGGTGGTTGTTGTTGTAGGTGTGATTGTTGTTGTTGGTGTGGTTGTTGTAGGTGTGGTGGGTGTTGTTGTAGGTGTGGTGGTTGTAGGTGTGGTAGTTGTTGATGGAGGTGTGGTGGTTGTTGTTCTAGTTGTGGTTGTTGGAGATGTTCTGGTTGGTGTGGTGGTGGTTGTTGTAGGTGTGTTGGTTGCAGGTGTGGTTGTTGTAGATGTGGTGGGTGTTGTTGTAGGTGTGGTGGTTGTAGGTGTGGTGGTGGTTGTTGTTGTAGGTGTGGTGGTTGTAGGTGTGGTGGTTGTTGTTGTAGGTGTGGTGGTTGTTGTTGTAGGTGTGGTGGTTGTTGTAGATGTGGTGGTTGTAGGTGTGGTAGTTGTTGATGGAGGTGTGGTGGTTGTTGTTCTAGGTGTGTTGGTTGCAGGTATGGTGGTTGTATGTGTGGTTGTAGGTGTGGTAGTTGTTGTAGGTGTGGTGGTTGTAGGTGTGGTAGTTGTAGGTGTGGTTGTTGTTGTTGGTATGGTTGTTGTAGGTGTGGTGGTTGTAGGTGTGGTAGTTGTTGTTGTAGATGTGGTGGTTGTTTTTGTAGATGGGGTTGTTGTTTTTGTAGGTGTGGTAGATGTTGTTGTAGGTGTGGTGGTTGTAGGTTTGGTAGTTGTTGTTGTAGGTGTGGTGGTTGTTGTAGATGTGGTGGTGGTAGGTGTGGTGGTTGTAGTTGTGGTGGATGTTGTTGTAGGTGTGGTTGTTGTTGTAGATGTGGTGGTTGTAGGTGTGGTAGTTGTTGATGGAGGTGTGGTGGTTGTTGTTCTAGGTGTGGTTGTTGTAGGTGTTCTGGTTGGTGTGGTGGTTGTTGTTGTAGGTGTGTTGGTTGCAGGTATGGTGGTTGTAGGTGTGGTAGTTGTAGCTGTGGTGGTTGTTGTTGTAGGTGTGGTGGTTGTAGGTGTGGTGGTTGTTGATGTAGGTGTGGTGGTGGTTGTAGATGTGGTGGTTGTAGGTGTGGTAGTTGTAGCTGTGGTGGTTGTTGTTGTAGGTGTGGTGGTTGTAGGTGTGGTGGTTGTTGATGTAGGTGTGGTGGTGGTTGTAGATGTGGTGGTTGTAGGTGTGGTAGTTGTTGATGGAGGTGTGGTGGTGGTTGTTCTAGGTGTGGTTGTTGTAGGTGTTCTGGTTGGTGTGGTGGTTGTTGTTGTAGGTGTGTTGGTTGCAGGTATAGTGGTTGTAGGTGTGGTTGTAAGTGTGGTAGTTGTTGTTGTAGGTGTGGTGGTTGTAGGTGTGGTAGTTGTAGGTGTTGTGGTTGTTGTTGTATGTGTGGTAGTTGTTGTGGTTTTTGTTGCTGTGGTTGGTGTGGTTGTTGTTGTTGTTGTTGTTGGTATGGTTGTTGTAGGTGTGGTGGTTGTTGTTGTAGGTGTGGTGGTTGTAGGTGTGGTGGTTGTTGTTTTAGGTGTGGTGGTGGTGGTGGTGTTTGTAGGAGTGGTGGTTGTTGTTGTAGATGTGGTGGTTGTTTTTGTAGGTGTGCTGGTTGTTTTTGTAGGTGTAATAGATGTTGTTGTAGGTGTGGTGGTTGTAGGTGTGGTAGTTGTTGTTGTAGGTGTGGTGGTTGTTGTAGATGTGGTGTTTGTAGGTGTGGTAGTTGTTGTTCTAGGTGTGGTTGTTGTAGGTGTTCTGGGTGGTGTGGTGGTTGTTGTTTTAGGTGTCGTGGTTGTAGGTGTGGTGGTTGTATGTGTGGTGGTTTTTGTTGTAGTTGTGTTGGTTGCAGGTGTGGTGGTTGTAAGTTTGGTGGTTGTATGAGTGGTGGTTGAAGGTGTGGTGGTTTTAAGTGGGGTGATTGTTGTTGTAGGTGAGGTGGTTGTAGGAGTGGTGGTTGTTGTTGTTGGTGTGGTGGTTGTTGTAGGTGTGGTGGTTGTAGTTGTGTTGGTTTTTGTTTGAGATGTGGAGGTTGTAGGTGTGGTGGTTGTAGGAGTGGTGGTTGTAAGTGTGGTGGTTGTAGGTGTGGTGGTTGTAGGTGTGGTGGTTGTAGGTGTGGTGATTGTTAAAGGTTTGGTGGTTGTAGGTGTGGTTGTTGTTGGTGTAGGTGTTGTGGTTGTTGTAGGTGTGGTGGTTGTAGTTGTGTTGGTTTTTGTTTGAGATGTGGAGGTTGTAGGTGTGGTGGTTGTAGGGGGGGGGGTGGTTGTTGTAGGTGTGGTGGGTGTAGTTGTGTTGGTTTTTGTTTGAGATGTGGAGGTTGTAGGTGTGGTAGTTGTAGGGGTTGTGGTTGTTGTTGTAGGTGTGGTGTTGGTTTGTTTAGGAGTGGTGGTTGTTGTTGTAGGTGTGATGATTGTAGATGTGGTGGTTGTTGTTGTAGGTGTGTTGGTTGCAGGTGTGGTGGTTGTAAGTGTGGTGATTGTTGTTGTAGGTGAGGTGGTTGTTGGTGAAGGTGTGTTGGTTGCAAGTGTGGTGGTTGTAGGTGTGGGGGTTGTTGTGGTTTTTGTTGTTGTGGCTGGTGTGGTTGTTGTTGTTGTTGTTGTTGGTATGGTTGTTGTAGGTGTGGGGGTTGTTGTTGTAGGTGAGGTGGTTGTAGGTGTGGGGGTAGTTGTTGTAGGTGTGGTTGTTGTAGGTGTTCTGGTTGGTGTGGTGGTTGTTGTAGTAGGCGTCGTGGTTATAGGTGTGGTGGTTGTATATGTGGTGGTGGTATGGTTGTTGTAGGTGTGGGGGTTGTAGGTGTGGTAGTTGTTGTTGTAGGGGTGGTGGGTGTAGGTGTGGAGGTTGTAGGTGTGGTTGTTGTTGGTGTAGGTGTTGTGGTTGTTGTAGGGGTGGTGGTTGTATGCCTGGTGGTTGTTGTTGTAGGGGTGATGATTGTAGATGTGGTGGTTGTTGTTGTAGGTGAGGTGGTTGTTGGTGAAGGTGTGTTGGTTGCAAGTGTGGTGGTTGTAGGTGTGGTGATTGTTAAAGGTTTGGTGGTTGTAGGTGTGGTGGTTTTTGTTTTAGATGTGTTGGTTGAAGGTGTGGTGGTTTTAAGTGTGGAGTTTGTTGTTGTAGGTGAGGTGGTTGTAGGTGTGGGGGTAGTTGTTGTAGGTGTGGTTGTTGTAGGTGTTCTGGTTGGTGTGGTGGTTGTTGTAGGTGTGTTGGTTGCAAGTGTGGTGGTTGTAGGTGTGGGGGTTGTTGTGGTTTTTGTTGTTGTGGTTGGGGTGGGGGTTGTTGTTGTTGTTGTTGGTGTGGTGGTTGTTGTAGGTGTGTTGGTTGCAGGTTTGGTGTGTGTAGGTGTGGTTGTAGGTGTGGTAGTTGTAGGAGTGGTGGTTGTAAGTGTGGTGGTTGTACGAGTGGTGGTTGAAGGTGTGGTGGTTTTTGTTGTAGGTGTGGTTGTTGTTGGAGATGTGGTGGTTGTAGGTGTGGATGTTGTTGTTGTAGGTGTTGTTGTTGAAGGTGTTGTTGTTGTAAGTGTTCTGGTTGGTGTGGTGGCTGTTGTTGTAGGCGTCCTGATTATAGGTGTGGTGGTTGTATGTGTGGTGGTTTTTGTTGTAGTTGTGTTGGTTGTAGGTGTGGTGGTTGTACGTGTGGTGATTGTTGTTGTAGGTGTGGGGGTTGTTGTGGTTTTTGTTGTTGTGGCTGGTGTGGTTGTTGTTGTTGTTGTTGTTGGTATGGTGGGTGTAGGTGTGGTGGTTGTTGGTGTAGGTGTGGTGGTTGTAGGCGTGGTGGTTGTAGGCGTGGTTGTTGTTGTTGTAAGTGTGGTGGTTGTAGGCATGGTGGTTGTAGATGTGGTGGTTGTAGGTGTGGTAGTTGTAGGGGTTGTGGTTGTTGTTGTAGGTGTGGTGGTTTTTGTTTTAGATCTGGTGGTTGTAGGTGTGGTGGTTTTTGTTGTAGGTGTGGTTGTTGTTTTTGTAGGTGTGGTAGATGTTGTTGTAGGTGTGGTGGTTGGTTTTGTAGGTGTGGTAGGTGTTGTTGTAGGTGTGGTGGTTGGTTTTGTAGGTGTGGTAGGTGTTGTTGTAGGTGTGGTGGTTGGTTTTGTAGGTGTGGTAGGTGTTGTTGTAGGTGTGGTGGTTGTAGTTGTGGTGGTGGTTGTTGTAGGTGTGGGGGTTGTTGTTGTAGGTGTGGTTGTTGTTGTTGTAGGTTTGGTGGTTGTAGGTGTGGTGGTTGTTGGTGTAGGTGTGGTGGTTGTAGGTGTTGTGGTTGTTGTGGGTGTGGTGGTTGTTGGTGTGGTGGTTGTTGTTGTTGTTGTTGGTATGGTTGTTGTAGGTGTGGTGGTTGTAGGGGGGGGGGTGGTTGTTGTAGGTGTGGTGTTTGTAGGTGTGGTAGCTGTTGTCCTAGGTGTGGTTGTTGTAGGTGTTCTGGTTGGTGTGGTGGTTGTTGTAGTAGGCGTCGTGGTTATAGGTGTGGTGGTTGTATATGTGGTGGTGGTATGGTTGTTGTAGGTGTGGGGGTTGTAGGTGTGGTAGTTGTTGTAGGTGTTGTGGTGGTTGTTTTAGGTGTGGTAGTTGTTGTGGTTTTTGTTGTTGTGGCTGGTGTGGTTGTTGTTGTTGTTGTTGTTGGTATGGTGGGTGTAGGTGTGGTGGTTGTAGGCGTGGTGGTTGTAGGCGTGGTTGTTGTTGTTGTAAGTGTGGTGGTTGTAGGCATGGTGGTTGTAGATGTGGTGGTTGTAGGCGTGGTTGTTGTTGTTGTAAGTGTGGTGGTTGTAGGCATGGTGGTTGTAGATGTGGTGGTTGTAGGTGTGGTGGTTGTTGTTGTAGGTGTGGTGTTGGTTGTTTTAGGAGTGGTGGTTGTTGTTGTAGATGTGGTGGTTGTTTTTGTAGGTGTGGTGGTAGTTGTTGTAGGTGTGGTGGTTGTAGGCCTGGTGGTTGTTGTTGTAGGTGTGGTGGTTGTTGTTGTAGGTGTGGTGGTTGTAGGCGTGGTGGTTGTAGGCGTGGTTGTTGTTGTTGTAAGTGTGGTGGTTGTAGGTGTGTTGGTTGTTGTTGTAGGTGTGGTGGTGGTTGTAGCTGTGGTGGTTGTTGTTGTAGGTGTGGTGGTTGTAGGCGTGGTGGTTGTAGGCGTGGTTGTTGTTGTTGTAAGTGTGGTGGTTGTAGGTGTGTTGGTTGTTGTTGTAGGTGTGGTGGTGGTTGTAGCTGTGGTGGTTGTTGTTGTAGGTGTGGTGGTTGTAGGCGTGGTGGTTGTAGGCGTGGTGGTAGTTGTTTTAGGTGTGGTGGTTGTAGGTGTGGTGGTTGTTGTTGTAGGTGTGTAGGTTGTTTTTGTAGGGGTGGTGGTTGTTGGTGTAGGTGTGGTTGTTGTAGGTTTGGTGGTTGTTGTTGTAAGTGTGGTTGTTTTTGTTGTAGGGGTGGTGGTTGTATACCTGGTGGTTGTTGTTGTAGGTGTGATGATTGTAGATGTGGTGGTTGTTGTTGTAGGTGTGGTGGTTGTTGTAGGTGTGGTGGTTGTTATAGGTGTGGTGATTGTTGTAGGTGTGATTGTTGTAGGTGTGGTGGTTGTAGGTGTGGTGGTTGTAGGTGTGGTGGTGGTTGTTGTTGTAGGTGTGGTGGTTGTTGTTGTAGGTGTAGTGGCGGTTGTTGTTGTGTATGTGGTGGTTGCTGTGGTTGCTGTGATAGTTGTTGTTTTAGGTGTTGTGGTGGTTGTTTTAGGTGTGGTAGTTGTTTTGTTTGGGGTGGTGGTTGTTGTTGTAGGTGTGGTGGTTGTTCTTGTGAGTGTTGTGGTTGTTGAAAGTGGTATGGTGGTTGTGGTTGTAGATGGTGTGGTTATTTGTGGTTCGGTAGATGTGGTTGTGGATGGTTTAGTAGTTGTGATTGTGGATGGTGTAATTGTTGTTGTTGTCGATGGTTCTGCAGTTGTTGGTGTTGTGGATAGTGTAATTGTTGTGGTTGTGGATGGTTCGGTAGTTGTTGTTGTGGATGGTGTAATTTTTGTGGTTGTGGATGGTTCGGTAGTTGTTGTTGAGGTAGGTTCCGTAGTTGTAGGTGGTATTGTAGTTGTTGTAGGTGGTATGGTTGTCGTGGTTTTAGTTATTGTTGTAGGAATAGTTGTTGTTGTTGTAGCAGTTGTTGTGGTGACTGGGGTTGTTGGAGTGGTGGTTGCGCTTTTAGCAGTAGCTGTAGTTGTGAATTCATTCACGGTAATAACAACTACTGTCGAAATGACGACGGTAAATTGTCCAAAAGTGCCTTTGTCCGGATCTGTTGCGTTTACTGTTATAACTGCTATGATGGCAACTAGGAACGTATCGGTGTCAGAAATCGTCACGGCGGCAAAAAAAACTCGGAATCGGACTTGCACACTCCCCTCACTATATCGTTTTGAATATAAATAAAAAGGATTAAATTACATCTTTATGGTTTATCGTGATAGGCACGCGTGATAGATGTGCATATAGCGCATTTATGTTTTGCAATATGCTTATCACGAAACCATGCTACATTCATCATAAGTGTGAATAAACGCATTTTATTTTTAAATGAGTAGTTAAATGAATGGCTCGTGTTTGTATTACCAAATGATAAACACACGTTTGTTTTCCCCCAGGTAGTGTGTTCTATTTCTCTTTGCTAAATCAATATAGTCTACTCACGTCAAACCAGTGACCTCACACCCTGTGTATTTATCCTTAAGGTTGCTGCCTTCAGCCGAAAATGTTTGCCGAACCTAAGGGACATAAGATGCAAGAATAACTATTTGCCGTTTTTATAGAGCAGTGCATCAGCATAGATAAATATTTGCCGTACTCAAATTACATAAGAAATATTATTCTTTGCAGTAATAGTGGTACATAAAATGCAATAACGATACCTGTATTAAATAAGAAACATGTACATTGATAATTGCCGTTACTAGATAATGTATTTCATAAGATAAATAGATATTTGCCGTAACTAGATATCATGTGATTGCTAGATACCATGGTACATCAGATAAAATTGATATTTGCCCCAACTAGATGATTTATTCATACAAAACATTGATATTTGCGTAACCAGATAATGTGTTACATACAACAAATTGATATTTGCTGTATCTAGATAATGTTTTACATACAACACATTTAAATTTGCCGTACCTAGATAATGTTTTATATACAACACATTTACATTTGCCGTATCTAGATAATGTTTTACATACAACACATTTACATTTGCCGTAACTAGATAATGTTTTATATACAACACATTGATATTTGCCGTATCTAGATAATGTTTTACATACAACACATTTACATTTGCCGTAACTAGATAATGTTTTACATACAACACACCGATATTTGCTGTATCTAGATAATGTTTTACATACAACACATTTACATTTGCCGTACCTAGATAATGTTTTATATACAACACACTGATATTTGCTGTATCTAGATAATGTTTTACATACAACACATTTACATTTGCCGTACCTAGATAATGTTTTATATACAACACACTGATATTTGCTGTATCTAGATAATGTTTTACATACAACACATTTACATTTGCCGTACCTAGATAATGTTTTATATACAACACACTGATATTTGCTGTATCTAGATAATGTTTTACATACAACACATTTACATTTGCCGTACCTAGATAATGTTTTATATACAACACACTGATATTTGCTGTATCTAGATAATGTTTTACATACAACACATTTACATTTGCCGTACCTAGATAATGTTTTATATACAACACACTGATATTTGCTGTATCTAGATAATGTTTTACATACAACACATTTACATTTGCCGTACCTAGATAATGTTTTATATACAACACACTGATATTTGCTGTATCTAGATAATGTTTTACATACAACACATTTACATTTGCCGTACCTAGATAATGTTTTATATACAACACACTGATATTTGCTGTATCTAGATAATGTTTTACATACAACACATTTACATTTGCCGTACCTAGATAATGTTTTACATACAACACACTGATATTTGCTGTAACTAGACAATGTTTTACATACAACACATTTACATTTGCCGTACCTAGATAATGTTTTATATACAACACATTTACATTTGCCGTATCTAGGTAATGTTTTACATATAACACATCGATATTTGCCGTACCTAGATAATGTTTTATATACAACACATTGATATTTGCCGTATCTAGATAATGTTTTACAAACATTTACATTTGCCGTTACTAGATGATGTTTTACATACAACACACTGATATTTGCTGTATCTAGATAATGTTTTACATACAACACATTTACATTTGCCGTACCTAAATAATGTTTTATATACAACACACTGATATTTGCTGTATCTAGATAATGTTTTACATACAACACATTTACATTTGCCGTACCTGGATAATGTTTTATATACAACACATTTACATTTGCCGTATCTAGATAATGTTTTACATACAACACACTGATATTTGCTGTAACTAGATAATGTTTTACATACAACACATTTACATTTGCCGTACCTAGATAATGTTTTATATAAACACATTTTCATTTGCCGTATCTAGACAATGTTTTACATATAACACATCGATATTTGCCGTACCTAGATAATGTTTTATATACAACACACTGATATTTGCCGTATCTAGATAATGTTTTACATACAACACATTTACATTCGCCGTATCTAGATAATGTGTTACATACAATACATTGGTATTTGCCGTAACCAGATGATGTGTTACGTACAACACATTGATATTTGCCGTACCCAAATAATGTGTTACATACAATACATTGATATTTGCCGTTATTAGAATTTTCAATTTAACAATGGCCTAGCTATAAGAGATAGGATATTTTCATATTTGTCGTAATCATGTTTAAAACAAACATGCACATTTGTCATACCTATGGTACTTAAATTATCTTAACATTTACGATAGCTTTGATATAATTTTGTTTGATTTGGATTGATTTAGGCAAGTATCATAAGAACTAAAATCACAGATACAGCAACGCAAGTATATTTTACACAGGCAAGATTTCTTTATGTCAATTCTGGTTTATTTAAGGTCCATTTAATTTAAAATTATCAGGTCAATTTACATGAAAATGTTTAAGCACAAAGAGTCATATTCAAGTGAAAAATCGACATGAATTTGATCTGCAATTGACCTGATGTTGACATGACACAATCGTTTAAGTCAATTTCAAGTCGGGACTTTGAAGATAATCATTTCTTAAAGCATTGTTTCCTTCCCTAAAACAACAATATTAATATTTGTAGACAAATGTCACATACACTTTTTACTAGCATTTCTATCTAAGTCTTGCCAAGGATAACTCACGAGAATCCAGAGACTTATTCCCATTGAGTTCCTTTAAAGGTGTGTAAGGCGTTATTTTTTGCTGATATTTATAGTTTTCCGTGCCTACAGTAAACAAGTCATCAATGTTATGTATATAAATAATGGAATCGGAAGTATCTTATTAACCCTATCACACACTGAGTATCATAGTGGAAGAATGTAGACACAACTATGAGAAGGTTTGTAACAATATTTTCAACGATAACTATTGACTATTCCGTCTTTTCGTATTGCAAAGTTATCTTCTCTTGTGAACAGGTATTGATTGTTACGTCATTGGGTTGTGTGAGAAAATTACGTCGTTTTCTCAAAAATCTATAACGTAACTCTCACAAACAAATGACGTAACAATCAATACCTGCTCACAAGAGCAGATACCTCTTCAATACGAAAAGACGGAATTCTCAGAACAATTGTTCAGTGTTTTTTCCCCTATAGATGGACAGGAAATTTCGTGTTCCCATTATCAATATACTGCTTATCGTGTTTTTTTAACTGCATCTTAGTCACATGTTAGGGAAAGAAATAGTTCCTTGATTTCCGGCTAAACGATGCTAAATTAATCCTTGGTTAAATAATTGTTCCGGTCTGCGGTCCCAAGCAATAATATGGCTTCGAGATCCAAGAGATCAGCTGTTTTTACTTATTCACCCCTGAAGACACATTTGAACTATTCCAGTTCATAGTTTGGAATAGTTCATTGGGAAATTTCAGGAGTTCATCTTATGTATTGGCGAAATAGTATGTTACATATATTGTTTTTATCGTATTCATATTCTATATAATATACAGATTTTATGAATAAGTCAAAAACACAGAATGGCATCAAAAGTGCTTCAAAAGTATACGCAAATATCATTCAGTTAGCAGAAACCATGGTAACTGTCGAATCGCACCTGCGACAGTATTTAACCGGAAGTTCTCATTCAGCAGGGCAGTCAGGCACTTGAACTTTGTGTCGGTTTATTCGTATCTATTACCAAAAGCATAATAATGGAAAATATCACAAAGTATTACAGCTTGTGAATGCTTTCTCACCTCGTCACAGAAATCAGTTTCGAACTTCATGAATTCTCCCGAGTTGGTATCACTGTATTCTGGCTTGTATGTTTCATTTAATGACATACTCATTTCCACACTGACTATTAAACAAAACAAAATGTAAAATGAAACTACATATAGAATTATATGATCTTCTTTTTTTTAAAACCACTGTTATGTAACGGTTAAAGGAACAACATTTCTTATATAAATTATTACTACTTTACAAATATATTATTATACAGTACAACAAAAACATAATATCTTGATTTATTGTATAACGGGATTATCTTACTTTATAATGAAAC